AAAACAAAAACAAACTGTTCCAAGTGCTCTTTAATCTTATTGCATCTTTTATGATCCTGTCAGCGTTATTATGCAGTGGGTGGGAAAAGTCAATTACACATCTTTGGCACCCCTTGCTCTTCTCCACTCTCAAGATATACTGACTGGCTTGGGGACAGGCTTACATTTTCAATCAAGCCAACTAATCTTAGACTAGCCAAGTATTGGTGTGTGGAGCATGATGCTTACTTTCTTAATACTGCCATTTGATTTAAAGGGGATTCTCTCCTTACCACCCCCACCTCCCAATCATAACCATTCTCTGGATTAACATTTCAATTTGAACAAGCTTTAATTTAATTATCTGATTCCTGGGGAAAAGATCTATCTTGATGTTTGATTATTAAAACGCCTATCATTATGGTGTGTGGGTGGGTGTAGAGTGGGCATATAAATGACAAGGATTCTGGAGGGTGCAGAGACACATTCCTCCTCCCACAGTTCTCAAGATGGTCATTTCCCCCTTTCCTTGCAGGAGTTAATAGCAGTCATTCGCTTATCTGGAAGAAGGTAAAGGAATACGGACAGGGACACCATCCTGCATTAAGGATGGAGGAGAAAACAGGTCCATTTTGCATCTCAAGGTGAACTTTCCCAATTATGGTAGCCTTTCCGAAACAGCACATGAAACGAAACACAACATCATTTGAAATTTGCACTTCTCTGAAATTTGCAATGCAGTTCTCCAGCCAATTATTGAGTACAAAAATGCACATGCATGGGTGAAGTGTGCATAAACAGGCACCTACTGATTAAAATGGCATACAAAAAATGCATTATATTAAGGAAAATTGCTTAGCAAAAATGTATTAGACAAAACTGTTATTAGGGGAAATGCCTCTTGCACTTCTGACACTTGAGGTGGTGCTCTTCAGCCCGTGCCATGGGTGGGCCAGCTCTGATCAGCACTGTAGTCTACACCCCATAGCTCCAAAATGCTTGTACGTCACTCAGAACGTGTGTGTATCGTGTCTAATGAAAGGGAAAGACCACAGCTCAGTGGTACAGCATCTGCATTGCATGCAGAAGGTCTCAAGTTCAACCCCTGGCATCTTCAACTAGGGCTGGAAATGTCCCCTGCCTGAAGCTCTGCTGCTAGCTGGTGCAGACAAAACAGAGCTAAATTGATTATTGGTGCGACTTGGTATAAGGCAGCTTCCTATGTTCCCATAGCCTGCTCTGTAAGCCAGTGGATAGCCGGCACTGGTTATGTAAACCCCAGCACCAAACCTGGGAGGATCATTATCAGGACCTGTTGTCGGCAAGAGGCAAAATGGAATTGGCAGTTCCTTTTCAACACAATCCGTCAATGCTTCTCAGCAGGGCCCTGACTGACAACACTCTTAGCTACTGAAGCACGTGGCGGGAGCATTAAAATTATTGACTTCTTCTCTCAAGATTATCGACTGCTATCCAAGAGCTGTGAAAGCTGAATCTGATTAATTCTAAAAGGGGCACAAGGATGAAGGAAGATTAGTGCTATTAGCCTTTTTTTAAAAAAGGCATGCTTGGGGGGTCAGGCCTAGAGACCAGCTGCTTGACCGTTCTCCAAGGGCAAACTCTGAAACATGGAACAGCTCTAAAGGGGAAAGTTTGCACTGAGTCTCAGACCATGAACAAGCGGAAAAGGCAAAACAGCACCTGACATTGGCTGAGAGGAGCAGTCCAAAATTTGAGTGGAAGCACTATGTCTTCCAGGGAACAATAAGCTCAAAGGAAGAGAGAATTCACACTACAGTATCTTACCTGTAGGCCTTTTCGCACTGCTACTGCTTTCATCTGCAACCTTTGGACATGCTGCCTGGTGCTGAAGGGAATTGTAGTCCAGTAGCCTCAGGAGGTCCCTAGGTTAGCCACTCCTGCTTTAGAGGCAATTCCTCTTCTACCCTCAACAGGATATAAAGGAAGTAGAAAGTCCCACAACAGTGTAATGTGTCCAATTGTTGAAATGCCACTAAGCATTTAAGCATAGTTGTGGTCTTTTGAAAGAAAAGCCTTATGCAAGCACAATGTGTGACCACTTATATATATATGGTTACAGTAGGTCTAATTCCCGGAAAGGTCTACTGTATCTGTACTAACAATGTACACGTATATGTTACAATGTACACATATATCTAAATGTTTCTTCCTTAACAGATCAATAATGTTATAACTGGATGACATGACAGATAAGATCTATGTGAGCTGGAGTTTGCTCATGAAGAACAACATGAAGCTAAACTCAGCATGATTTTTTTCTCTCCCTCTAGTTTTTGTTTGTTTTAATATAAAAAATAAGGAATTTCCTACTCAGAGAAAACTTAAAGGTAGGCTAAAGTGTGCAAACCCTCTATAGACTGTTGCATATGAAAATTCTGCACACATCTACTTCACAGAATATAGGTGCACTGAAACACTACAACTGCCCACAGCATCCCTACACATGACATGCTGACACGCTTACACATGACATTACACATGACAAACAACTGACACCCTTCTTCCTATGCAAAATTTGCTTCTCATGTTACAAAACTGACGCAGACCTAAGCCATTTCATTGCACACATTCTTTCCACATATGTGCCACTATGAACAAAACTACTTCAGCGACCCCTGCTGGGAGAAAGTTGAACACCTTAGGGTTGTTTTTTCTTTCTTAAATCTCACTGAAATTCCTTTAATGCAAGGGTTCAGGTTTAATTTATAAGCTGATCAAATAACAGCATTAGGGAAGGGAATCTGCATTTTAAAATAAAACAGAAGCTTAAGATGTATATTGAGTGACAGCATTTCAAACCCAACATACCAATATGTTTGGCCCCATTGACCTTCATGACGCTATCTATGCACAGAACACTTAAATTAAAACTGCTGATGGAGCCACAGTGAATTTAGTGTTAGTCTTTCATCTTAAGCTTAACTAGGCTTTAATCCGCCCCCGCCCCCCTGCACAATGGTTTGAAAGCTAAAAGAGTTTACGAAATGCATCCATCTATTTCAAGGGTTAAGGTAAGAAAAAGGGTTAAACACTCCTCCCCTGGCCCCACTTCCCCAAGCAGGCCCCATGATATGGCTGCTAATTAGTTAAAAGAAGCATCCAGGGGAGTTCCAAATAATGTATCTCCTGTGTCTTTATTATCTACGTCCCCAGTATGTTATTCTATAGTAATCCAATTACAGAAGGGTGTGTTTCAACAGAGGTGGATTATCTGAGGCAATAGTCCTAGCTGCTTGGTGTTTAATTAGAATAATAAAATCACCAGGCAACTGAAGTGAAGAAGCAGGTAAGAAGACTGAGAATTGTAAAAGTCCAGGAATGAAAAGGTATTTGCCTTAACAGCATAAATCACTCACAGCAATGAACGAGACCACAGTGCATTATTTCCTTAATGAGACGTCAGTAGCTTGTTCTCTGTAAGTATACTTTGCACAGGTTGACCTGAGCAGACCAGTTATGGACTTCATCTAGGCATGAAGGTTTAATCCAGGTGTCCTGAACCCCGACTCCTGAAGAACAGCAAGAGCTCAAACACACTGCCATTTGTATGCATGAATCTCCCTGCAAGTAAATACAAGCTGTGCTCACACTGCTGATGGAATAATAAATCCCCCAAAGAAAACACTCTCTTGGAAGGAAGCTTTGAGGACACAAGAGGGTGGAAAATTTGCTAATGTCTGCTACATCCTAGCTCTCCCGTGGCCTGAGGGGAAAACCCCGGGTGTCCTACAGAAAGGTCACAATCTCCAGGCTTTATTTGCCATTACATACACTTAGTCTATAGGGACGCGGGTGGCGCTGTGGGTAAAACCACAGTGCCTAGGACTTGCCGATCGTATGGCCGGCGGTTCGAATCCCCACGGCGGGGTGAGCTCCCGTCGTTTGGTCCCAGCTCCTGCCCACCTAGCAGTTCGAAAGCACCCTTAAGTGCAAGTAGATAAATAGGTACCGCGTTATAGCGGGAAGGTAAACGGCGTTCCGTGTGCTGTGCTGGCTCGCCAGAGCAGCGATGTCACACTGGCCACGTGACCCGGAAGTGTCTGCGGACGGCTCCCGGCCTCTAGAGTGAGATGAGCGCACAACCCTAGAGTCTGTCAAGACTGGCCCGTATGGGCAGGGGTACCTTTACCTTTACACTTAGTCTACGCACACAGGACACTTTCTTCTTGAATCAGTGGAGACTGAGTACTTATTTTGTCTACATAATCTATGCACTATCTAGCTCTATTGCATCTTTGTTCCTGAAAAGCACTTCCTGAGCAACTTGTTTCATTCTTAAAATAGCTCATTGGAGATTCCTTCTGCATTACCATCTGCATGTCCACCTGAAAACAGGTGTAGGCAGTCCTGGGAATGGGGAAGGGAGAGGGATATATTCACACCTGCCCAATAATGTTGTAGGTGGGTGCATACCAAGATCACAACCACCACTTCCTTCTTCATTCACCTGGAACATGTGCCAGGGAGGAAAAGGCGTGGATAACCTAATCAAATGGTTTTCAAATGTGTATCAAGTAGCAACACCCACCCTTGTGGACAGCAGAATTTAGAATCAGTCTAGATTGACAGCAGCATGTTGAGAATAAGAATGAATGATTCCAGGTTGAGAAAAAAGAAAAATACATTTTTCTGCTGCATGCAGGTTAGTGTGTACACAACTGGAGACAGCATCTTAAAGTCCTCCCCAAGCCTGGTAGATGAGCTAGATGTGATTTTAAAAAGTTGGCAGTGTGGATGGATAAATGAAAAGGGGTGTGTGGTGCTTAGCAAGAGGTTTGTTTCTATATATAGCAGACTACATAGGACCAAGAGACGTGGATGGAAGCTGCTGAAGTGACCTGTAACACTCTGCTCACCAAGTTCTGATGATGCGAACAGAAGCTGCTAAGAACCAGTAGCAGGTTTTTAAAATATGGAACACTTCACAAATTTCCGTGTCATCCTTGCGCAGGGGCTATGCTCATCTTCTCTGCATCGTTCCAATTTTAGTATATGTGCTGCCGAAGCGAGCGCAGTAGCAGGACTTTTAAGCTACATTGAATGGATCTTCCCTGCTCAACCACTCCATTTAACAGTCTCTTCAGAAACAGTTTGTTGCTTTGTAGTTGACAATGAGGCAGCCTATTCATTTTAATGGGTTGCTGTTGTTTGTTGCCTCATTTTCTCCCATGATTATTATTCTAAAGAGATTCGATGTCTTTTTTTATTCTTCTGCTTGTAGCTCTGTTTCAGGATGCTCTTAAATGTTAGGAAACAAATGTGTGCCATAAATCATATTTTAAGGGAAGATTACCAACTAATCTTAGGTGCTGGGTAATAAGAGTTGGAGTCCCTTCAGGCCAGTTTTAGAAAGTAAATAATAATTAAACAAAATCTCAGACAGGTTGTGGAATATGGCAGAATTTTAAAAGTCAATAGCTTGTCTTGCCTCCTCATTTTTCTTACAAAACAACAGTTTATCATCATCAAGAGGCAGGGTGCTCAGGTTGAAGACATGCAAAATTAGGGTTGGCAGACCCCCCCCCCCAGGCCTGACCTGAAGTCTCCAAGTTTGCCTGGCTGGCCCCAGGTGGCAGAGGGAGGGTTTGAATTTCCAGGTGGGTGAGAGCCCCTATTTTAAAAAGTTAACAAACTGATTGCGTGAGCAGCTTGCAAATTTCAGCCTGGTGGGAGATGACTGCAAATTATTGCATAGACTCTAGTCTAGTCAGAGGTGGGGGGGCATTATTATTTTTAATGCTAAACAAGCACACAAATAAATCACTGCTGTGGTACACCCACAGTTGTGAGTCCCAAGCTTATGATTATGTATCCCCACCTGTTGCCATTAGCTGCAGCCTACCTGTGACATCATGAACGTACATGGCAGCTGAGTGGACATAAAGGTGGGTCTTTTCCTCTTCTCCAACAGAACACAGTGTGCAACAGCTGTGACATTCAGCATTGTCTTGTTTTCTTCCACTTGTAGGAGGAGAATTGGCAGATGCGATGATCTGGTTGTGAGATGCTATGGAGTGATAATAAGGCAAGGTCACTTGCTGAGCAGGACTGCAGCTTAAAGACAGCCAATACCCACAGCTGGAAAATGGCTGATGTCTAGTGATGGACTTAACGGAAGCTGGCAGGTGTTGGTGGGTGGAAAGTGATAAAGATCATATTCAGAAGCCAGTGGCTGGAGCTGGCTGGTGTTCATGGGTATAAGCTGCTTGGATTTCACCTTTGGAAGCTAGTCAACAGAAGCTGGTGGAAATTTGTCAGTTGAAGCCAGGGCATGAATGTGAACTGGTGGAGAGTGAAAAATGTATGAACATTTTTTGCTGGTGTTTTTCATGGATGTAGGCTGGCATATGCTTGTGTGTTTGAATGGCCCCTATAAAAATGGGAGGTTTCAGTTGCGGTCAGGACAAATGATGTGTGTATCTGTATGAATGGTGGATATTCATGAACAGATGAAACCCATGGAAGATGGCGGGCTGAAGTCAGCAGAAGAAGTTGCCAGGTAGAAGTCACTCGAGGTGTCTGGATGCTTTCAGGTGGTAGCCATCCCTTTCACTTGTCTCTGGTTCCCCCCCTTTCAGGGATATCTGAAGCCAGTGAAGCTTTCTTGAGACTATAGATGAGAGCAATGAAGAGATGTCATAGGGTGGTCTGAAGCTGGTAAGGCTTTCTCAAGAGCTCCCTGCTCCACCCCCTGTGAAAGAAAGAAGGGAACTGCAGAGCTTAAATGCCAGCCAGTGTATATACCGGTACCTAAAGAAGTGTGTGTGTGTAACACACACACACACACACACACACACACACACACACACCTACCTGTAGTGCCCACTCTACAGATAACAGAAGGTCAAACAGATAACAGAAGGTCAAACACCTGAGCTTATGGTGTGCCCCCCACACCCCCTGTATCTGTACACATGAAGGCTGAGCTGTAAATATTTTTAATGATAAACCCATAAACCAGGCAACTAGCAGCCTTTAAGCCAAATCTGGTCTCATGGGCAACTAAATGGCCCACTTCTCTTTCCTGACCTTTAAGTACAGGGAAAAGAGTCTTTAAGCCAAACAAAGCTTCTTTGCAGCTGGCTTTAACTGAGTGAAGAAATATTCTCCTTTACAGATGACAATATTCTGTTTGAGGGACTTTCAAAGCACAGTCCTCTATTGGGAGGGCTGTCTGACCCAAGTTTGGCCAGGAAGAGTTTGCTGGTCAGTTTTCTCCACTATGCTGAAATGTAAATTATGGTAATTATTTGCACATTTGCCTTTCTCCACATTAGTTAGCATATTCAAATTTTATGCAAATCTCCTGCTTTTTTTGTAATTAGTTTTCTCATTTTGGGCAATACGTAAGGGACAACTCTATGGGAGACTGCCACATGGGCTACATATTTCTTGCAGGGTGTATCTTCCACCTGGCTCAGAAATCTAGTTAATCTAGTTTAAGAATACAGTTGTGTTAACAAAGGGGATGGAGAAAGGACTTGAGTCCTTGTCTTTCTAGTTGGCCAAGTACCTTCTTCTAGTTTGGATGATACCATGACCTCCAGCAGCAAGAAATGTAACAATCTCATCCCATTCCAACACAAACCAAGGCATTCTATGAAGCTGCCTGAAAGTAACTTATGTTGGTCCACTTTGACTGGCAGCAGTTTCATCCACTCTGACTGGCAGCAGTGAATGCAGCAGATCTTATCAACTCTGCAGAATCAGATGAACATTTGGAAGTGCTGCTGCTCTGATTAATGGATTCCTATGTCAATGGCTCTCAGCTACTCATAGGTCTTACACTTCCTGGCTAAGCAAAAGGGGCAGCTCAGCATATTATTAGATTTGCTGTTTTATTTAAAGATGGCTAAGGCATGGTGCATCTTTGCTTACCTCTGCACAATAATCTGTATGGGGAATAAGATATGATAAGTAATTCCTCGGTGCAGGATATAGACTAGATGGCCTCAGGGCTCATTCTAGCTCTTTGGTTACAATTCCACTAGCTCCCAAAGCTTATATAGCTTAAATTGAGTAATGTACTTTAAGAAGTATAAAGAAAATTTGATGCTGATGAAAAAGTACATAGGGCCAAGGATGAGAAACAAAGAATTTCATCTTACTAAAACCTTTTGTTGTCTTTTAGGGAGCAAACAAAATATATTCCACAAGTACTGGGAATTATTTTTTTCTTGCTTGCTGAACCCAATATAGAAGAAAACAAAAGAATAACTCACTTAGGAGGCTGGCATTGTGCATTTGTAAAGGCAACCGCTTTCAAACAGATAATGAAGAAGGCTTGGCTTATGTGGTGAGTTCTTTATAAACTCATTTCCTTCCTGGAGTTCAGGAATTATTCTACTTTGGCCATTGCTGCAAGACTGGAAGAAGCTTCAGTGGGAAGACGCCAGCATTTATTTTCTTTCTTTTTTTAAGAAATAAGGTAAGGTGTGCAATTCAACCATCTTTTAGTTTATAGTTCTATGAGAAAACTTGGCATTACTTAAGTTTCTTATTAAATCACACAGGATACTCTGCTGCATAGCATTTGTTGGTACTTCTGTTTGGCAGTTGGAAACTCTCTTTTCATTTTCCACTAGATTTCATTTCAAGTTCTCTCCTTGGATAGATTCACACACACAAATTACTGTTGTTTTTTGTGAGCTATCAGTATTCCAGGAGAAAACCATTGCAGTGGTATCTTGGGCGTAGCCAGGATTTTTGTTAGGGTGGGCAGAACTAACGTGATTGGTCACTTAGTTAAGTATTTCTATTGTTTTACTTGATCTAGGGGGGCAGCTGCCCCCTGCCCCCCCGGCTATGCCCATAAGTGGAATGGAGTGTATGATTAGTTCACTGTTATGGCTACATAGCTCAACGAGGTGGCATGGCCCTCTGACCAGACTGGGGTCACAATGGGAGACCAAGGGTTAAAGCCCACTAATGCCTGTGCCTGGGTCTTAATCTGGGCTGGGTCCCTGTGCTAGCTATTTTTGAAAGAAAATTCATGTGCTTAAGAACATGATTAACATATTGCCAAGTTTGATCCTTACTGGGCTTTACTAAGCTTGTAACTCTTGTTCTCACCAATATAAAATTAAGCTCTGGAGTAAATGTGGTGATGCCGATCTGGTGAATTGCCCACTTTTAGAGATATGAGCCGGTTATTTCCTTAAATATGTGGCTTTCAGCACATTTAAAGCATTTCATTTCAGAAGTGTGTGCTGTAAACTTGTTTTCTTCAACTTAAATCTCTGCCTAATATATGTAATAATAAAACTTGTGGCTCAGGAAACATGACCTATATTTTTCACAATGATAGAGATGAACTTTAAAAGACCCTTCTGTACCAGAGTAGATAACTTTCATTACACCTTCAGTATGTACGCTCCCCCAACGACTTTTAAAAGGCTGAAAATAATACTCTATCAGGCTGGGGAAAGCCGTCCTAAACAGAATGGTCAAAAACTGATGTTTCTGTTGGATCTTCCTCTTTTACCCTGATCCAACTCATTGTGCTTAAAAATGTATTTATATATGTGACTATTCTGTTGAAAGATGCTTAGAGACAATTTACATTATTGAGCTGGCAGAGTGATAATGTAAGCTGAATTATATTCCCTAAATTCTGCTTGTTGTGAAGTAATTATGTCATTATTTCAACAGTACCATGCACTGTCTCTCTGTGTCTCTTACACACACACAGTTCCACATTTACCCTGCCAAAATTAGACTCATTGCATTTTGTGTGACATCTATAAGAAACAACCACTATATACAAATGCCCCCATCCAGCTAAGGAGATAGATCCATGCATATAAGCAGGCTTAAGCATGCGTATATGTTAGTGGATCAGGAACCATAGATGTAATTCCAATGCATATCAGAATAAAAATTTAGCAAACACCATCTATCTGCACTACAGTGCTTTCAATGGGTTGGCAATCTTCATTCTGGCACAACTAGTCAAACACTTTTTTTTTTTAGCACAACAAGATGGATCAGGGTGTTCAGGTAATGTAAAAGGCTATTTGTTAATAAAAAGGAAGGATGGACACAAGAGAAATGGCATAGAACTCCAGGCTGGTTTTGCATGTTCTTGTGAACACTTGATAATTCAGCACTTCAGCTCAGCGTGTTGACTTCATTGGAAAGCTGTGCATTTAAAGTACCATCAATCAGGTGCTATGGAATTTCTATCTATACTTGATCTGTGATGCATCCATTCATACTTGAAAATCACTATGGTGCTGCTGCAGTCATATGGTGAGCACGCATGTGTGAGTCAGCCCTCAGAGACAGAACAGAGAAAGATGAGGAGAAAGGAAATTAGGGTAATTTGGAGAGAAGTAGATAAATACAAACAACCACTTTAACCTCCATCTCTATCTAATGCATGGTAAAACTAAAATCCTCATCACATGACAATATGATACAGAAAGATACCCTGCAGTGAGTCTTTCTTCATAGTTTGGCATGTTCAGGAAACTAGTTCAATAAGTCATTATATGCAGATTGTAGGAAGTTCTGAAGTTTCAACCCTATATAAAACCAGCTTCTTCTAAACATGAAGTATCTTTTTTAAAGTAATTTTTTGGGCAAATGGCCACAAATGAGAACACTGAAGCTTCTGACTGCTCAGCAACTGATCCGAATAAAATGAGGAATCTGAACAGTGCAAAGAAATCATCCTAGCACTTCTGAACATATGGAAAGGCAAGAATCAGTGGCTGGTACACCAGACACTGATCATCTTCTATCCTCTGTTACCTTGATATTTCAATGGAAAACCAAGTTCCTGAACCAAAACCACTGACCAGATGAGTTGCTATTCAAATATCCCCCCCCCCAATTTAGCCATGTACTCTGGGCAACACCATTTTCTAAAATAATGGGTTAAACAAGAGGGAGTCAACGTAGTGCCCTCCAGATGTTGCTGAACTACAACTCCCATCAGCCCCAGCCAGCATAATCAATGGTCAGGGATGATGGGAACTGTAGTCCATGAAGACCTGGAATACTTGGGGTAACCCTGAATATTATACAAAAAAAGCATGAATCTCTTCTATGTCTCTTGTTGCCACTTCTCCATATCATTTGAGGATGCTGAATGCCATATACTGTACAGGAGCAATTTGTGCAGCATATTTTCAAAGAAATTCTAGAATATCTATTGGTAGAATCCAGTGGGCAAAATTTTGCATTCTTTTTTTGCTGTAAAAGACAGAGCAACAAATTGCATTGTTCCTATTCTTGTCCCACAGCTGCGATCATGAACAAAGTAAAGATCTCCTCCAATGCTGGGATACTGGTCATGCTACTGTTATTAAGCACAGCTCAACCCAAGCCCTGCCCTCCCTGTTTGTGTGAGCAGCAGGAAGACCTAAGGGGTTGGATATTAAACTGCAGCTCTATGGGGCTGAAGGAAATGCCTCCCCTGTCATCGGAATTATGTCACTCTTGCCATACCATCAACATTCTTCATCTGCAAAACAACAGTTTGACGACGGTTCCTCTTGGTGCACTGGACCACTTAATTTACCTGAAAGAAGTTGATTTCTCCAACAACCCTTGGCACTGTGACTGCTCTATTTTATATTTCAAGCAGTGGCTGGAAGACTTCAGTATCGCTTCTCTTGCCAACCTTCAGTGTGCATCTCCGGCTTCTGTAAAATCAAGAGCCTTGAGTCAGCTGACTGGGAATGAACTGGAAGGATGTAGGAAGCCTCAACCAATCAAATGCCTTGATTTCTTTTGGAGAGACTTTGCTCTTATTTTTGTGGCAATTATTGTCTTAATTTTAGCAAAGTGCATTCTACAATACTCAAAAAAATTAACTTCCCAAGCTGCCAGGAAGCTACATCCTTTTGAAGTCCCACTGCTGCAGATTCATGACCTGGAAAAACAGAAATCAAAATGAGCTGCTGCGGTGACTAATAGCTCTTCAGTAAGATTACCAAAGTCATCTGTTGAAAAGGTTGTGTTTGTTCAGGCTCCAAGCGCATACAGAGCCATGACTAAATGTCCCTTAGGCTAAAGAAATAGCACCAGTTATATTCTGTTTGTTCTTGCTGATTACATAAGAACTTGTACAATGTATGTAGTTACTTTACGTTTTCCCAAATGGCAATACCCACACACTACCCTTGATGCTTCTGTGAGCCACTGGGGTGAAACCAAGGATAACCAAATTCTGTTAGCTGTGTAAATAATTATGTAGTAATTATTACTACATGTGCTAATACCATAGCATGGGGTAATGGAAATGTGCTCTCATGCACCATGGCTTCTACTGCTGTGGCACTCAGCCGTATAAACATTCCCAAAGATAATTAATAATATCACTGCTATGCAAACAGAGCTATGTATATGAAAAAATAGAGTTTAAGTTAATCTCAAACTAAATTAGGTACCAGGCCAAAGAATTTAGAACCCTAAACTCACGCTCTTGCCTAAAAGGGATCTGGATTAGAGAGCTCAGTTTGCTGTTATCTCTCTTTTATGTTGCATCATTTATTAATGTCCTATAGCAAACTATTTTAGAGCCCAACCAAAAGCCTGCTGTGATTGGGATAGAATTTATGGTGTGTATTAATGTATCATATACCCCACGAATATACTCTGAATAGAGAACACCAGTTCTAAAAGTATTTGTCTTTTAAGCACGTCTGTCTTCAGGAAATGGATGACTGAATTTCATGGCTTTGTCACTGAAACTTTAGTACTCTTTACTGATGAGTCTTCATCCATTGCATACTGTTGCTAACCAGTAAGCCCAATAGTGACTTTGCTTGCAATAATGTTAGTTATGAGTTTACAGTTGTAACGGTCTGTACACCCCCTGCTTCAAGACACCATGCTGGCTTTATTAGGATGCATCAGGATGCCTTTTGTTATTTAAGAGGACATAAATCCTCAAAAACGAGCAAGGTGTTTGTTGGCTTAAATAAAGCATGCTGGTAGATCTCGCTCAGCAAGTTCTGTGGCATGTTTCCACAGCTATTCTTTTTCCAGTTTCATTACTTAAACACACACACACACACACACACACACACGGGGGGGGGATTGCTGAGTTCTCACTTAGTGCCAGATATATTTCAGAGCAAGGATGGGGAACCTTCCAGATGTTGCTGGATTACAACTCCCATCACCCCTGACCATTGGCCATGCTGGCTGGGGGTGGCTGGAGTTGGAGTCCTAAAAACATCTGGAGGGCCACAGGTTCCCCTCCTCTGGTTTCAGAGGCTGCTATGGCAGTGACTCATATTATTTCTCAACAGCTCTTATGAGGATGGCATAATATCTGAATTTAAGAAAAGGGTATTGGGTGAAGAAATGAGTGGCTGCTCCATGAGTAGGAATTCTGTCCACCATTTCTGAAGTAGGAACTCTCTCTTATCAACAGCAGGGGTGCTTCCAGATTGGGTCTTTTAATACTACCCAGTCATTGCTCTTCCATGGTAAGCTACATGTGGAATTGAAAATGCCTATGGCCACCAAAATGTGGAAAGTCAATGTATGTGCATCATGCAAGGTTCTGTCCATGCTAGTAGGCATCATATAGGGAGGGTCAATGTGCCTGAACACACCATTTTGGTGAAATGTTTATTTTAAATTTTCTACTGAAATACATTTTTTTTTAAAGTGCCATTGTGTTCTAAAGTGCTATAATGTTTTTAAGGCAGACAGAACAGAAAGCCAAAAATCTAAAAATGAAAAAGTCAAAATGTCACCACTGCTGATTGCTGGGTGATCATCAGATTTTTTTCTAGCAGTTGTCAGCTGAAATCCAATTCAGGAAGTAAAAAAAAAGGCAGAGGCAGAGACACCGGATCAGAATCAAGGATCCAAAAGTCTGGAAACCTTGATATCTGTTTGCAGCGTGGATGAAATACTGAACCTACATCTGTGCCAATTTCTGTAATAATTAGGGACTCTCGAAGAATCTTTAATTTAATTCTGGTTTGCCAGAAGTGACTTAGTCATGCTGGCCACATGACCCGGAAGCTGTACGCAGGCTCCCTCAGCCAGTAAAGCGAGATGAACGGTGCACCCCCAGAGTCGTCCGCGACTGGACCTAACGGTCAGGGGTCCCTTTACCTTTACGACTCTTTAAACAACTGACAGCACAGTCATACACATGTCAACTGAGAAGTAAGTCCTACTAATGTCCTGCATTTATTGCCAAATAATTGAGTACAGAATCGTATCCTTTGGAGCCTAGCTGCATTTGGATAAACACACAGTTCCTAAAATATATAATTGGTTGGCATCCATCTGTCTTGTGAGACAATGGAGGAGTGCGCCTTTGGGGGTGAAGTCAAACTACTGGAAGGTACAGTACCTGCTGTGGCTGTAGAAGCCAATACAGGTGTTTTGTTGGAGTGTGGGGCAGATGAAGGTTTTGCTGCTAAAGGTGCACCATGGTATTTCTTCTCTCTGTGCTCCTCCCAGCAGTCATTCCTCCTCCTCTGCTGTTGGTACACAAACTGTCTGTCTTGTCTCCAGGCACTGTGGTCAACTGCAATGGATTCCCACATGACCAGGTTAAATTTGCCAGCCTTCATGTCACGTTTGCAGACACCTTTGTAATACAGAGTTGGTCTGCCAAGAGGCCTGGTGCCTGAAGGCAGATCCCCACAGAGCACGTTCTTGGGGATCCTCCCATCTTCCATGGCTGTGATGATACTTCAGCTCTTGTCAACTTAAAATGGACTAGCCCAGGAACGAACGAGAAGACTTCTGTGTTTGGAAGCTGTTGAAAGGCCAGAAATGAATATGGTGCAGAATGGTGAATGTGACAGTATTTCTTTGGAAACAAGTCTTCTTATGAAAGTCTTAGCAGAAGTCATTGTGGAGCAGCAGTCTTTCCAGTAAGCAGAATTCTTCTTATCAGGTGGGAACCACTGTGCCTTTATCTGGGGGAATCCTTCCAGAGCAGGAGCTAACAGGCTCCGAAAGAGGATGGAGGGAGCGTCACCAGCTTATCTTGCCCAGCCACTTCTTTCAGGAGCACTGGGCCACTTCCCACGCAGCCAATCAACTCCAGCTGCACAGTGCATGCTGTTGATTACAGTCCTTGCTGCCACAACCTGCAGAAAGGCAAGAAATTACTATGGCATGGATCTAAAATGGAACATACAGAAAAAGGCTTCTCCAAGGGATTTGCGAAAAGCCCCTCAAGGAGTTTGCTGACCAACCCTACCTTCTCGTACGCACCGAAGAGTGTGCAGTGAATCCTGCCTGCAAAATCAACATAAATACTCTTAAAAAACCAAAAATAAAAGAATGCAGAGCTGTAAACAGATTGATCTCCTCAGGTGTTTTGGACTTGAGGTAAGTGCCAGTATCTCTATGCATCTTTTTCTCTCTGCAGTAGCTACACTCATGCTCTCTGTGCTGTCCATGACATGGTGTACAAATGAACTCTATGGTATATCCAAATATTGCAGAAATAATGAGAGAAAAGCACAAAAAGGTTAGTTTATTTTTTTAAAGGGGCCTGCATGCCCATAATAGCAAAGAAAAGGTTTGAATATTTTAAGCGTTTTTCCCTTTCTTGATCCTTTTTTCTTTTTTCTTTAAAGGCGGTGTTGGCAAAGTTCTTCATTGTATACTGTAAGGCATCTCAGTATTTTAAAAGGTTTTGCATTTGGTTGTTAACTAACAAAATTAATGGCCCAGAGTAATATAGAAGAAAAACCTGAAATTATTCTTCAAATCAAGTACTGTTTCTTTAGCAACCCATTGATTTGGGTAACTGACAGTTTAAACGCTACTGTGTAAAGTACTTTGGTTTCACTTGGATAAAAGTACCTAGGTTTTTTCCAGTGAAAATAAACAAACTGATCTCCTTTATAAAACGAACCAACCACAGTCAACATGTTTGGAGCATGCATAAATCATAACACAGGGGGTAATTTAACATTAATGGCTTTAATTTGCTTTAACGTTTTCATTCACGATATGGTACATAATTAGATCTTATGAAAGGTTTGTTCTGTGCATTTCATGCATCACAAGGTTTTCCTGCTCATTTGCTACAGATAAGCCTTTAGCTCTCTTTGGAGAACACAGCAGGAACTGCTGCTGCATCAAAAAGTGAAAGCACACAAGAAATTAAGGGATGTTCTCAAAAGTGGGGTGGCCGGTGCTCAGGTTTGTTAGCAGGGTGCTGAGCTCCTCTCTGATATCCTCCTTCCCTAGAACCAGGAACAATCTGTGACTGTTTCTTTATCCTGCTCTGTTTACCATCTATTAACCTGGGTAGGGAAAACCATGCTAGGGCCACCACTTGGCCTTAGCAGAATGCTTCTCAAAATTTCTGTTTGTTGCCTGCCTCCGTACCCAGAACTCCCCATCAGTTCCATGAGTAAGCATGTGGGTCTATATGTGCAGCTCACTGCCATGCGCTAAGACAGGATAGTTTTCCAACAATGTCATTACAAGAACAACAGAACAGGGCAGCTTTGCTTTTGTCTTAAAACCACATGCAGGAAAATACAATTGGGGACAAAGCTGCAATTTATCCTAAGGTAGGCTGTACTGGCCATAGGATCCTCTCCCTAGCTAAATCTTCATGCCTCCCATGTGTCCCTCCTCCAACCCCATAGGACACCCTTCCATAATTTGAAAAACTAGCCCACAGGGCATTATTGTATGTGAGGCTTTGTTGTATTTAGATCAGTCCCACATGTCCTGCAAACATGGTGTGGGTTTTTCTGTTTATACCCAAGGAAACTCAGTCTTTTGAATTAAACGATGTTTACTGGACAAAAGTTAAAAACTCTCTCTTCTAATATGTTAATCCATCTGGTCCAAACACTGCAGTGAATCCTGCAACCATCAACAAATCTGTAAGCAGGCACATCTATTTAGTGCATGGAGAAGAGGGATGCTAGTTTGAACTGCCATCTTGACTCATTTCCTGCACTCACTGTTCTTCAAAATGTGTAAGATGGTGATGCTTACATATGAAATGTGTGATATATAAAATTATTATGAATTGTCTACAGAAAGCTTCAGGTTCACCACCTCTGAACAGCAAGCTCCACCAACTCCCTGAAATCTGCTTTCTTCAGACAAGATTCTCGAGTCTAATCCCACATTTGAAGAAGGACTCTTCTTGTCCCTTCAGAGGTTAGTATTTAGTTATAAAAGAGATAGCCCATAAGGAACAGGAAGCGGAGATGTAGTTCAGAGTAAGGAATGTTTTTCCCCTTCCTCTTCTCTCTCCCCCACTCTGGCAGTGGTCTCCTTGAATATGCCCACCAGAGATAATTCCAAAACGTCCCATAGAGGAAAACATTAAATCAAAAGTTAAACTGATCCTCAATCTGATGTTTCAGCGATGGCCTGGTAAAACAAACAATAAATTATTCCCTCCAAAATAATCTTCCCCTTCCCCATGGACGCCCACATGCTACAGACTTCCTACATGGGAGATGAAACTGCAATGGAAGTGTGCAAAACCTATGTGTAGACTATAATGAGTGGCAAGAGCACACCTGAGAGTATACAATGGCATGCACCCATGTCACTTTGTGATGCATACAGAAGACCATCTATATGCAAGTTTCATGCTGTTTTGACAGGAAAGTGTAGGAAATCTATATCAGCCACTACTGGAGCCTCCCTTTATAGGAAAAGGGAACAGTTGATTCAGCTGCAAAAGTATAGAATGGGGAGGGGAGAGGCATTATTTCCTGTTAAAGTAAAATCTTTGAAAAAATACTATACATTAGTACAACATTCATGAATGTGCTATGACTTATTTTTTGCACTGATGCCATGATTTCAACTTTCAGAATGGTCACAAGTCAAGGAATAGGATTACTGATACTTCTGTTCCTTGAAGCCACATCTGCAAACTCCTGTCCGCACCCTTGTACATGCTCTCCACCTGATCACAGCCCACTGAAAGTGGACTGTGGCTTCAGAGAGCTGGCAACTCTTCCACTTCTACCCAGTTCAGCCCAAGAACTGTACCTCCAGAACAACGATCTGGAAACAATACCTGCAGGAGCGTTTGATAATCTTCAGGCACTGCGTATCATCAATTTATCTAGCAATCCGTGGCATTGCGACTGTGGAATTATGTACTTGAAGAACTGGTTAGAAGACCAAACGGGGAACACGTTGATTAGCGACATTAGATGCTTCACTCCACCTTCACTTCACAAAAAAGCAATATCTGAACTAAGAAGGAGTGAGCTTCCTTCTTGTTCCACACCCCGAAGATTCTGTTCCGATTTCTTGTTTAGCGACACATTCCTCTTCTTCTTCATTTTTGTGCTCTTTCTCTTCCTGTGGGTTTTGATTACAAAAAGGCCTAAATTTAAAGTAGAGATTTGCAACAACAGCATGGAGATCCCAAACACATTACCTTCAACTTCTTATCAGCTGAAAAGAAGAACAGCAAGAGTCTAGAGTAATTTATCACTGCTAGCGATTACTGCGTGTTAGATTGCCAAGTGAGAAGAAAGGTCAAGCAAATGATTTCTGTTTATCATTAAAACTGAAAAGAATTGTTATTATTGGCTTTTCATTTTAAGGGATGGGAAGTCAATTCATCAAGAATGTGCTCACTGCACGAAAACCGTCATACGCAACTTTAAAAGACTTTAGCGTCCTTATTTTAATCATTATGTTTCTGATTTATGATGCCTTCATGCTGCTGGTAAAAGCACATCCTGCAATTAGAGGTGCAACTCGGCTCTGAGATCTGGACCATTATTACAGTTTTAGGCTAATAGGTCAGTGCACAGGGCTTGCTGGCTCTGGCTGAGCTGAGTTGTTTCCTGGTTGTGATCATCGCCATATTGATAACCCATCAGCCCAAGTCTAGAGGTTGATGTGGTAACATTTTGTACAAGCAATGGGGAAATACAGTGTTCATGCTCTGTTAACCCTCTGTTTATGCGACTGCTTGCATGTCAGAGAATTATCAATTAGTGTACACAATGTGTTGTACATGGAGCTGCCCTTGAAGATGGGCCAAAGATTGCAGTTAGTGCATAATACAGGGGGTAGAATTCCAACCAGCGCTACTCAACACAATCTACTGCAGTGTTGACAGACAGACCCTTCACTCCGGTCATATGCCAATGCTTTCCATGGGAACTTTAGTGGAGGGTGGCCCAGGGCCATTGGGTTCGGCCCCAGATCTTGTGTTCTTCTCACTCCACCCTTTAAAAGAAAACTTAATTTAAACATTTTGCCTACAGGGAGGCTGGGCACCTGGCAAAGCACAGTGCCAATGAGACCCAACTACGCGTGCCTTACTTTGCCCACAGGCACATGCAGTAGTTGGTTGCGATGGAGAAGTAGGGATATGAGGGTGGGAAAGGGGCATGTTAGATGTTGAACAAGACTTTTTTTAGCTTTAATATGTCCATAAAAAACCACTTGTTGCGGATAGGATTGTGGACAAAGTTGAGGGCCCAGTCTACATAATGGTGTATGGGACCCAGAAAATACTGCTGGCACACAATAGCTGAGTTAGCCATGACAAGAGCTAGAGTTCCTCCTTCCGCTCTGAAAACTGGCCTAAACCACCAACCATACATATAGATCACCATATGCAAATTTTATGTAAATTTGTGCCATCTCAGACACATGTGCATGCATGCACAACACATTTTCCTATCTCAAATATACTTTAGCTACACTGAAGTCTATAAACGAAACCCATTAATTTGATTCTTACGCCAACTTATTTTTTTTCTGATACCCATCTCTCACATACTTGTGAAAACAGCTAGAAATGTCTTTGTTATGGTACATAAAACAGACAACTATTTAAAGAAGGAGCTAAATGTCCATCGTTATGACAAATGGAAGGTGAAGAAGGGAGTTTATATTGCAAGGAATATCAGGGGAGCAGAATAGGCCAGTTCACAGACTACAGTGCTCTTGCAGGACAACCCCTAATATAGCCCTCTAAGTCATAATAGTTAATGTGGTAGCATGGTTCATGCACACAATGTTCCACCTAGTAAGAAAAAATCCAGACGGGTTGAAAACTCAAGTTACTAGCTCTCAGGGAGGAGAATTTCCCCCTTTCCCATCCTTTTATTGCTCACAATAGATGAATTACATCTACCTCCCAGGTCCCACCACCAGATGTCATATGGGGAACTGCTGGATAAACCATCTTCATAGAATTGTAGAACTGGAAGGGACCCTGAGGATCATCTAGTCCAACTACCAGCAACTTTTCCATATGGGCATAGTACCTGTAAACTTGGGTGTTATCAGCACCGTGCTCTAACCAACTCTGCTATTGGCTCCACACTTTCCCAGTTCTTAAATTCAAATGCTTCCATGGGATGCCTACTTCCTGGGCAGAGGTCTATTATTTAGAATCCCATAGAGCTATCAACAAACTAAAACAAAGACTAGCTTTCCCCGTTTCTTTCCTCGTAATAAAGAATCTGAGCAGACATTTTTCCAGTTCAGCAGAAATCACTCATCCAAAGCCCAAGCACGGGTAGGAACGAAAGCGCAAAGCAAAAGAATTACAAAGAACAAAGCATTTTTCTTTCTCGGATTACCTGTGGAGTGAAAAGCATTTTACCAAGGTTAATAAGAACTCGACGTACACTTCAAGCTAAGGAATGTTCATTTGAAAACACCACACTATTTCTCTCTGTGTTTTATTAGTACAAGTGAAAGGGTAAGACAGTTAAAATGGCTGCACGCTATAGAACAGGTCTCATTAGTATTCTGTAAGAAAAGTGGCCGATTTTTCTCTCACACACAAGACTTCAGATTATGTTCACATGCCTGGGCTGCTAATGCTTAGCAGCCAATCTTAATGAGAATCTTGCAAAATCAATCAAACCCTATCAAATATCTCATGGATGTCATGGTAAAAACAGTTACAGATAGGTAGCCGTGTTGGTCTGCCATAGTCAAAACAAAAAAATTCCTTCCAGTAGCACCTTAAAGACCAACTAAGTAGCACCTTAAAGACCAACACACGAAAGCTCATACCAAGAACTAACTTAGTTGGTCTTTAAGGTGCTACTGGAAGGAATTTTTTTGTTTTGACTATGGCAGACCAACACGGCTACCTATCTGTAACTGGAACTATGGAAGGCACCACATTGAGCCGCATGAAATGGAAGTCCATCAACCTGGTATATGAAGAAGTGTGCATGCACACGAAAGCTCATACCAAGAACTAACTTAGTTGGTCTTTAAGGTGCTACTGGAAGGAATGGTAAAAACAGAATGATTATAGTATATAACATCTGCATGCTAACAAATAGTGTGTGTTAACTGGATATATTCTTAGCCATTTTAAACATTTGAATGGATTTATCCAAAATCCATTGCCTATCTTTTACATTGTATTAATTGGCACCCAAGACATGGTGCAAGATGTAAGTGTTGTCAAACCAATCCTGGGAACTGTACTTTGTTAGGGGTGCTGGGAATTGTAGCTCTGTGAGGAATAAACATCAGTCTCCATGATGCTTTGTGGGGGAGCTATGTGCTTTAAATGTATGGTGTGAACACAGCCTAAGTAAAAATAACTGAAACAGGATAATCAGTACAATTAACCATGTGGTGGGGCAACATACAACATCCTGAACAACAAAAGGCTTGAGAAAACAACCACATTTTAAGATGGCACTGGAATGAGGGGATATGGCGCCAGTCACACCTCAGAGGGGGACGCACTCCAGAAGGGGGACACTGCCATGAGGAAGGCCCTTTACCGTATTGTTGGTGGAGGAAGCCTGCAGCACGTAGAGACACAGTAAAGAGAGGCTGCACATAATGTGCAACTCTGAGAAATGTGGCACTAAGAAGGGGCTCCTTAGGAGAACTTAAAGCTTGGCGGGCAGGACAGTAGAAACACAAGTTTGCACCTTTTTCATGAAAAAAAAAATCATTTACATGAAATAGTTTCTATATTGTGTCTGTTTCAGAGGTGTTGTTTCCCAATACAAAAATCCCTAGGTAACCTATCTAAGATGATTTGAAGAGAAAATCAAAAGGTACTCACAATTTGGCTATATAGTACTGTACTGTATCAATCTGAAACCATTAACTGTAGCTGTCAATCTCAAATAATGCACACGACATGAACCTTCACACTTGTTTCAGTTGCCCATTCTCTGGTAACCTTCAATTGTTGCACTTCTTTATATTTGGGCTGCCTCTGAAGACAGTTCTCCAGCAAGGGCAGAATTCAGAGGTTAGATTACTAACTGGGACTAGAAGGCTTATAACAACCAATTCTGGCCTAAATGCACTTGCTACTGATTGGTTTCCAGGCTCAGACTGCTGGTTTTGACCTATAAATATAAAGCCTTATGTGGTTCAAGAACTCAATACCTCAAGGGCCACCTCTTGCCACTAGCCCAGAGCCTGCAGTCTTCATCAGAGGCCCTTCTCCTTGTGCCCCATCCAAAGGAAGTGTGGAGGCTAGTTAAACAAGAATGGGCTTTGTCCCTGTGGTGACACCCCATCTGTAGAATGGTCACCCCAGAAAAACATACTTGGTACCATTATTATCTGTTTTTAGGCACCAGTCTAAAACATATTTATTTACCCAGGTGATCAAGTTAGCCTTTACAGGGGTGCACATGTTTCAGTTGGGTGGGATGGGGCGGGACAAGCACACACTATATGATAAACAATATGTTTCAAGTATAACCAAGACGTTTACAGCACATGCCTTGCCCAAAGAATCCTGGGAACTGTAATTTTCCCCTCACAGACATATCATTTCCAGCAGTCTTAACCTGAGAATTTCTTTCATAAAATAAATCTCTTATTGCTATCAGAAATCTTCTGCTCTATTAGGTAACCAGCCAAACTGGGCAGTTCAGTGACAACAAATATGGAATGGTTTGCACTTCAATACATACTTTTTTAATGAAATGTTTCAGGCTAAGATATTTCTTTGATTCTTTAAAACAGGGGTAGGCAATCTAAGGCCTGTGGGCTGGATGCGGCCCAATCGCCTTCTCAATCTGGCCCACAGATGGTCCGGGAATTTGAGTATTTTTACATGAGTAGAATGTGTCCTTTCATTTAAAATGCATCTCTAGGTTATTTGTGGAGCCTGCCTGGTGTATTTACATGAGTAGAATGTGTGCTTTATTTAAAATGCATCTCTGTGGGGCATAGGAATTTGTTCATCCCCCCCCAAAAAAATAGTCCAGCCCACCACATGGTCTGAGGGACAGTGGACCAGCCCACAGCTGAAAATGGTTGCTGACCCCTGTTTTAAAAGGTAGAGCAATTTTAACTCTGTTTTCCTGGAGGGTTTTTTTTTAAAGTCATTGATTCAATCTTTTAGCAGATTGACTGTGACTCCCAAAAGATTGTAAGGATTGCATTTGTTTCTTAACTAGACCTTCCTCTTAGACAACTGCTTACATGGGCCACATTTTGTAATAGACAGTTGTTCAAAAGTGCAGTGCTGATAGGGGGAGGAGGTGAATTGCTTATATTACAAAGGCACTGAAATCTTTTACTGAAGAACCATTTTGGGTAGAACTGTTGAAAAGTA